CGCGAAAAACCGATCGAATCTGAGCGACATTTTGTTGTTGTTGTTTTGCACCATCGTCGTAGCAGCGATAGGCCTACCCGATCTACCAAAACTTCTACTGAAATCTAACCACCTGATTACACTTATATTATTGTGATCATAAGCGATAACATCTGACGAGAAAACGGCATGCGGCTGCCGGTCATAATAGCTGGTCAGTGTCACTGACTCGCTGACAAGGTTAAAATTTTACTGACAGTGCTAAAATTATGTACTGTCAAGTATTTGCTGTTGGAATGCATGTAGTATGGCTGAGAGGGTCTATGTCCTTCATGGTACTGCTGGAACGTACCCTGGGTACGGTCCGGTATACCGGAACGTACCCTGGTATTATCTAATATGCCGGACCGTACCTCGCCTACTCCACTAACGAGTCTAGGGAGTCGCCTACGCCTACTCCCTAACCATATCAGATAGTTACCAGGGTACGTTCTGGCAGTACCCTGGGGAACATAGACCCTATGAGCTGTAGTATGATCATGATGTACCTGTTGCGATTGGAGGTTTATACACCTAGCTACTAGTACTAAGCTAGTACGTTACACAATATTACTAAGTAAAAGCACTTCCTTTCGGCAACGCTTCTCTAGTATCCCGTCTCATCTGGACAACGAGCATCTAACAAGTAAAATTACTAAAGAATTTAATCATGTTCGAAGCAAAATGACAACATTACACAATTACATATCATTTTGTATAGTCATTCATAGGTAGGCCTATACATAGAGGTAGGATCATTTATGACTTTTCAGCAGTTGAAGTATATATGTTTGCATTGTCATCACATGTGCATATTTGTAATTTGTGGGTAAAATGTAATACACATATATGCATTCTAGAATCTAATTGTCAATTTATTACTAAAATCTATATATCTTATATATGGAGATGAACGCCCCATGTTGATTAGAGGCTCTCTGTACTCAGTAAATATAGTTTGGGTTTCAGGGCAAGGTAGTAGAGGACAATGCTGCTTGCAGTTTGCTAAGCAAGGGAAGTGTTGCTGACTGTGGTTCTCTGGTTCTCTGGGAATTCCATCCACCCGTACTAATGGTGACACTCATTACCGAGAAGCTAAAGAGCCATTCCCTAGAGGATCCCGACCACCTTGCCATCACATACACAACTGTAAGTTGTTAACTAAATTTATTGTCTCTAAATATTCCAAATTTAAATAATTGTAGTCACCGCATATATCCAGCACACGTATGGCAGACTATGCATATGACAAAATTTTTTTAGGTCTGACAATTATGGCTAGTAAATGTATTTAGAGTACCGTACAAGTGTACTGTAACCCATCTTATAACATGACAGAAATCAAATTGAAACAACAGTTGCTTCTAAACAAGTTAATTTATACCTATGTGATTGTCATCTTTATTATGTGATATTGATGCAGTAACGTGGTAATACTATACAAGTTGTGCTGCACATTTGTACGTCACACACTATTACATTGTTTATGTGTGTTGCATGTTCATTAGATTTACGTGTGCATGCGCCATGTTCCAACTGTTACCTTTATATCAGATATGATTTTACATGATCAGTTGAATATGGCATCTATAACCATCCAGTATTACCTTGAAACTGTGTTGCTTGAATCATTGGTGGCTAGTTTGGTTATGCCAACTTGCCATCTCACTATACTCCAATTCTGTCACCATGCAACTGCAAAACCTTTTATTTTGACTTCACATCATTGTAGTTTTGGACCATATTATTATCACAAAATTCGTGTGAATTTAATATGCAATTGTATCATGAAATGTCATGACATTCTCTGATTTAGACTTTGATGTTAATGTGAAGTTCAGGTGTCACTGTATGGGTGTGGTGATAAGATTGCATACTAAAGTTTTCTTGGGGCATATCATCTTTATTACGACCTTTTCCTGGAGTGCTACATAGGCACAGTAAGCGTGACAACATGGTCCAGCAGTATGAGCCTTAGTGCAGTGGTCACATGTTGAAAGGTTGTGTTCAAACGTTTTGAGAAGATATAGCATGAAATTAGCAGGGTATATGGCTGCATCTAAATATATTTCAAGCTGACGACAACAACCAATACTAATAATAAATTCTTCTGAGCTAAGCTTAATTAGAATACTCATTTCTACTTTCGAAAACGGATGTCTTCTTGTAGTCTGCATTTCAGTAGGAGCAGGGTTGTGTTGAAGGTTTGACTTCAACTCGGGTTTATTCTAGCTTTGACCTAATTCGAAATCAGCTGTTCAAGAAAGTGTGCTCGGGTTGTCACATGTTTTCAGTGGTTTTTCATCTGAAAAAATTTATAGATACCAATGCAACTGGCAAGGTGATCTATCTATCAAGGTGATGACATCATTATTAGTTAATTTTTCCTAGCAGAATGCAGTGCGAGGAGAGGAAAATGTGACAGGATGTGGCAGACCTGCTGAAACTCGAAGTAATTAGTTATTTCACATGGTGCACTGATTGGAGGCTCATACAATGAGATGTATTGCCCAATTGCTTTTAAGGGCAATAATAATATTGTGTCACTAAAAATCCTTTTATATACATTTTTCATCTGCAAAGATAGTGAAGTTTAATTCTTTTAGCTGTTATACAACATGTCTGATTCCAAACGAAACTTTTGTTTACTCGCATTGTACATATATATTGTACATATATATAGAAAGAAAGAAAATCGAGATACAAACCTGTAGTTAAGTTATATCGTAAATGAGTGTTAGCATAATATATTTATAAATAAATAAAATTCTAAATGATTCAAGTTGAGGTAGTTTCACTCAACAGCCTAGTGATAAGAAATTTTCTGGAAATAGCTTGTCAAACATAGGTGGCTTAATTTGTTAGGATGGATGCAAGGTGCAGGCCTGTGCCTATTTGTGAGTACTGTATAACCAGGAGTAGATAATATGGTTAGGGTTAGGGTTAGGGTAATAGGAAGTAATAATTCCCTATTATCTACTTCTAGTATAACGTATAATCAGCGGTTAATAATGACAAATTATATTTGTCATTATTAACCCCTGGTATACTATATATATATATACTTAATTATAGTCACTGTTGGCAGTGATATTAATGTTCGTTGACTTTGTTTGATGTCAAAACTTTAATACCATGTACACATCTGTATACTTCAGTTTATGTAAATTGATTGCTGATGGGGTATGCTGAGGCAATTCTTTTGTTGACAATCTATGCTTTGGCCCTAGGTTGTTACATGTGTGCTTAGTTTCATGTGCATACAGTGTGTACAGGTGCATTATGATGGCGGGCAGGCAGTACTTGGATGTGCATGGATGGTGTACTGGGTAAATTAGCACATATATACATATAGTTTATAAGATATATTATAATGAAATATGCCTAGACCTTACCCATAATACACACTGTACTACAGGTATGGGTATATAATGCTGACATGCAGGTAGGCACTATCTATACACACTCTACATGTGTATTGCCATGACTTGCAGACCCTACTCACACGAGCGCACATGCACACGGACACGCACGCACACACCTTGTAACTGCATTATAATGATGTGCAAGCATCTACAACACAGGATTTTAATCAGAGTTTTACTCATGAAGGAACAGTGAAGTACACATCGGAATGACTATTTTAATAGATTCAAAGTTGTAATCTATACTTTAATCGTTAGCGTCAAGAAACATTCATGTATTGCATATGACGTATGTATGCATAGGCGTTACGTTAGTCTATCAGCTGTATTTGGCTATTTTCATGATATTTAGATCGTGTTACTTTCATCAATTCATCACTACAATTAGTGCACGGTTATTATTATTATAACCATTGATAATTTAATGCCTTCGCAAGCATGTTTTATCAATAGTCAGTCGATGGTCTGCACTCATGTATTGAATTGACATGACATGATTACTCATAATTTTGTTGTCATGTTTTACAACAGAAGTGGGTTCATTTATTGTTGATAGATTGCAGACAATCGCTATGTGTGTTTACCTACAAGTATGGTGAGCAGTGTTGAGTGCACAAATGTCCATACAGGAAAGAGCTTTATATGCAGGTGCTGGAAAGTCCTTGGACTATTCAACCAGTTTTGGATACTGCTTCTACTGTACCTATAGAATTGTGTATGTACTTCTTTTTCTAGGTTTCCCAGAGAGGCTTAATGCTATGGTGTAATTTTCACATAAATTTTATCATGTTTGGCCAATGTCATCGTGATGATGACTGGGGGTTGGAATTTACTTATACCCGATGTCAAAACTCTTCACGTACAAAAACTCCATTAGACTCCTGTTGTCCTGTTAGAGTCCTCAAATGTTTAATTCTACCCCTCAATGCAATCAATGATTTCAGTGACAGAATCAGCTTTTCATTATCATGTATATTACAGTTTTTAGGTGTGAATAAAGTATACATACTATTGTCTTGATGGCGGGCCATTGGCCGCTGTATGTGTATGTATATATGCTTATGAAAATCAATGACTGAATTTTTTCATGATTTCCCAAGGTGTTGAATTAGTTCATGTATTTGCGTGGTGTAATATTATACGTGTGCATGAAACTACTTTATTACATACTGTTAGTTTACGGCAGGGTCATTTTCGCAATAAAGTGTGCGTGCAAGCTGGATTTATGCTTCCGGCTTTGGCATTACCATATTAGCTTTACATTATTCAAGGGGTAAAACAGAAGGGATTGCCCGAACTGCGGAATAGTCGTTCAGGAGCCCCAACCTATGTTCGTTCATATATAACGATAAGGCTGTGCTTACCCAACTTCGCCATTAAGGCTAACCCTAACCGTCACAGGCACATGGAGCGTTTCAATAAAATATAATGCTAAATAAATACGAAATCTATTTACTACCAAAGTCTTAATGTTTCTCTACTCTCCTTCACCTATTATTGCCGACAAGGATGCTCCAGCCACTGCAACACACGCCCACCGCACGCGAGTGGTATGGAGCAAATATAGAGATTATATGTTATGTGTTCTATTATATGTTATGTTATGTGCTCTATATTTATGTGTAAGTGTGCAGTAGCATGCAGCAGCGTGCGTGCGGTGGGCGTGTGTTGCAGTGGCTGGAGCATTTGCAGCACGGCTTGTCGGCAATAATAGGTGAAGGAGAGTAGAGAAAAGAGAGGGAGAAAAGGAGAGTAGAGACTTTGGTAGTAAATAGATTTCGTATTTATTTAGCATTATATTTTATTGAAACGCTCCAAGTGCCTGTGCTAACCGTAACCCTATGCCATGGTTACCAATGCGATGGCTGCCATACTGCTTGCAGAGAGCGAGGCTGGCGAGCACCAGACGACCTGTTTTTATGATCACGTGTTGAGTGATAACGGGCAGCGCAGTAGCACATTTGTATTTTTATTATTTAATTATCAGTAGCTGTCAGCATAGACTTCAACCACCGTCCTTTAAAAGTCTTACACGTCGGTGTACAGGATTCAATTTTAAATATTTAAACATATATAGTAATTGATAATTAACATTATGCAGATTTCGGATTTTTAAGCTCATCGTTTTTAGACCGGTAAACTTTTATCGCAGATTCGCAATTCTTATAGTACTTATAGTTCTACCAATGCTTATAGTGTATCAGCCAGGGGACAAACCCAAATTGTTAATGTCAACTATTGCTGCCTTTCTAGATGAACTATTAAAAATTTGATGAACATAAATATTGTATTGTTATTTTGCTAGTTGATACCTTGAGTACGGTAGTTCATTTTGATCGATGCATTTGCACATGCATAGAAGTGCATTGATATAAAGTACATAGTAATTACCTAAAAATTTGGTGTCTGATAAAATTAAGGAAATTCTTATCGATTATTGCGTCCTTTCATAGCTCTCCCTTACTACCGCTCATAACCTGAAGGTTCTCGACGTTTATAGTGAAGGCAAATCACGCTATGGAATGCAGCATGTAACATAATGGAATGTAAATATTAAACAGAGTAAACAGAGTCGTGGTTACTCGACCCACGTTTGTCGAGGTGAGGTGTTCGCTTTATCTTGTGTCAGAGCCAGAACCTTAAAGCCATGCCCTGACCAGCGCGGCCGGATGCAATAATATCAGGCGCTGCCTGGTGAATGCATATTGAATCAGGAAACCAGCA